CAAATACAGAGTAAAAATGTTAAACACAGCCTGAGGGAAAAGATGACCTTAAAAGACATTTTAGACTTAAAGCTGGTGTCTCAGCAATAACAATGGAAGCCAGTACACATTCGAATTCTATCTCTCATTTGCTGAAATAAAACAATTGCCAACTCAGAGTTCTGTGGCCAGTAAAAATTACATTAAAAATGAAGGAGAAATGAAGATTTTTCCAAATAGAAACAGAAAATTCACCACCAACAGACTACTAAAAAGTATTCTTCAGTAGGGAGGAAAAGGATCTCAGATGGAAAGTTGGAGATGCAGGAACAGAAGGCAATAAAAAGGTAAGTATGCGGGCAGATCTAGATGAGCCTTAACTGTATAAATAATAACAACAACAAGAATAGTAATACTTTCTTGCAGGGTTTCAAATACATGTCGAATCCAAAGCCGTCCACAAGCTGTCCCCTTACTCTACCTTCTATTTTTACCTCCCACTGCTCTTCTGCCTGTACGCTATGCTCTTACAAAGCTGGTTGCTTACTGGTTCCTGTTTGTACCTTACATCTTTTTGCTTCTGTGCCTTTGTCTTTGCAGTTTTCTTTCTCGGCCTGAGAGGTACTCACTGCCACATCCACCAAGTGAAACCTAGCTATCTTCAATGCCCAGCTCAAATATCATTATACAGCAACATTTTTCTTGATCCCTTAGTGGGAGTAGAACATTTTCGAAAGTCTACAGTCCTTTGCATAACCCTTATACAATTTAGCAATTTTTTTTTTGTAAAATAAAAACATAATTTAGTTGTTGAACCAGCAGTCCCTGCGGATATTACATCTCTCACCCCATTGATGTTTTTCCCCCCTTATTACAAATGCAATGTTAATTACAGGAAAAAGTAAAGAAATAAAGAAGACACTAAGAATACCCATAATCCTACCCACTAAGGTTAGTGTATGTCACTGTACACTGCCTCCTCACACAGTAATTATTAGTGTACTATGTAATTTGCTTTCTTACACCCCTGGAAGGCAGGGACCATGCCTGATTTCCCTCTGCATGTCCCACGTCTTATACAGGTTAACATATGAGGAACATCAAAGAAGTCCTCATAAATTAGGGATGGCCAAGACCCCAGTGTCAGAAGTCTTACTTTTGAATGATTCTTCTCCCTTTCCACCCCATGCTTCACCCTCCAGCAGTACCTGAGTGGAGATCGTGCCATTGTTCTTGAGGATGAGAGGTAGTTTCTCTGAACGACCAAGAAGAAGCCTCTTAAAGAGGAGCAAGGGGTTTCCGTATTGGTTATGGAGAATTGGCCGCACAATAGTCACTCGAGGGAGGTTCCCCTCTCCCACGATATCAAACATGAGGCTTCGGTTCTTGGTGAGGTTGCTGCAGGAAATAGGGAGAGTGAGGCCTGTCAGCTTGGCATGGCAGGGATGACACTCCAGAGAGTGTGGCCTGCAGCCCCGCTGTAGGAGAGGTTGCTGGGGAGCTGGTACCTGGGCAAGCCATCCAAGGTAGCCTCGAAGATACACTGGTAGGTCTGCATGGCCTGTGGGGTGAAGGACACCGTGGCAAAGGCATGCGAACGACTGGCAACACACATCTTGTTGGGTTCCACTTCAAAGATGTCGACGATGCGGGCAATAATCTGGGGGCGGGGCAGGGATCGGTGTGCGTGTTAGCTACTTTGCGTTTACACAGGGCTTGCTGCTTATCTCTTTTGCCCCTGCTGGGAACGCTCCCTCCTCTAAGTTCTGCAGTAGACCTGTCCCATTGCCTGCATAGTCATGCCCCTGGGAAGGAGCAGCCTAAGTACTCTGGGGTTCTCAGCTCTAACTGGCTAAACTTGTGATCTTTGACTCAAATAGCAGAACTAATCCAGATCTTAGATAGTCAGGTATCAATCTCTGTCTCTGAACTAACTTAAGATGCCCAGAGGTCAGTGGAGGTTACTGATCTGAAGCTGAACTGGAAGCCAGACTAGAGGATGGAACAATGGAGACAGCATAAGTGAAAGACCCATGGTCCTTGGAAGATGGACAGAGCCTCTACTGGTCTTCGGAAGGTTGGATTTCAGATGACAGTTCCAGTCCCCCAGAGCTCTGGTCGCATGGTGTATCCTGATCTTGTCTGAGGTCTCAGATTCACTGGAACAAGCCTGGCTTTGTCTGGGTTATCTTGAGTGGGTTTCTGCTCTTTGCAACTCTAAGAGCTTTAGCTAGAACAAACTCCCTCCCATAGCACTTGATCTGTTCCCATCTTGTGACCGTGCTTTGGGAAGGCTGTAGGATCCCTGGCATGACCTCAAAAGGGTTTTTCTTTCTCATGGGAGGCAGGTGGGATTCAAGACTGACTGTTTCTTCTTGTTCTTATGCTGAGGGCACTAACCTTTCTTTGTTCTTTCCAATGGATAGTCTGCCGATTAGGGAGGGAATGAAGGAGGAGGGAAACATATAATGTATGCAAGCCCCCTGTTAAAAACCTATCTTTGATTAGAAATCAGGCTTGCTTGCTTTTTTATGTTTTTAGTACAGAATAGGAATAAAGCTACCCCTTCATGTACCAAATAAAGTTAGACAGTAATGACTGGATGTCACCAGAGCCTGAGGGAAGTCATAAAAGAAATTAGTTTCTCAAACCCTGCCATTCTGTGGTGGGTGACAGTCCCCTGGGAATGCATACTCTATTCTCAGCTCTAGGCTAGGCCAACCCTCCTAGCGGTCTCCCCACCGCCATCAGTGATGTGAACAATGCCAGCTCCGGGGCCAAGGACCGCCTGGGCCAAGATTCCACTTTTGGGCAGAGAACTGAAGCAGCTGAGATGATACTAGGTGGCATTTGCAGCACATCTGATTGGAAATTAAAGGTGGGTGGAACCTATTAACGAAGCCCTCTCTCTTGGCAGCCTGAATTTTCTCTTCCACTGTGAGGAAAAAGGATCTCAGTATGGTCTGAGTCAGAGGGGAAGGCAGTTCTGAGTCTGGCAGACCCTGAGCTGGGTACTTATTATTTACCTTGTATGTGACTGAAGCTTGGCTTTAAACCTACCCCTATGTCCCTAGGCTCTGGAACCTAGGGAAAGAATTTAGCCTTTCTGAGCCTCAATTTCTCTAACTGTAAAATGGGGATAATAATACAAAGTCTGACAATATAAGCTTGTGCGGATGAAATGAAGTAATTAATGTAAATTATTTAGCACAGTGTCTAGCATACAGCTGGGGCTCAATAAATGCCCACCATTTCACCTTATCCTTATAATCTGACATCCCCCAAATCTCCTTTACCAGACGAATATGCAATTTGAGGCAGCCTGCCTGAGCTGGCACTCATTTTGGCTCTCCCCACAATGCTGGGTCTATCATAGGCACACGATGAGTGTTTGAGGGATGTGTGAGGTGCGCATTCCTGCATACCAGCTTATCACAGAGGTACCCAGAAGAGACACCCATTGAGACAAATATATGGCTCTTGGCCTAAGAGAAACTGCCCCGTTCCCTCCCATATCTTCCAGTAGGGCCTGAGGGCCAGATACTCCCCACTCAGGTATAGAGGCCCCAGAGCAGGGGTTTCCAAGAGCTCTTTCCCTGGGTTTCTGGGGCCGAGTGGGGCTGCTTACCTTGCTGGAGACAGGCTTAACTACAAGGTTCACATCACACGCGATCTTTCCCACATTGCTGATCTTAAACCGAGCCTTGGCCTGATGGCCCACCAGGACGTTGCTGAAGATGAACTTGTTCTCGTCCTCCACAAACAGCCCCCCGCTCTCTATGGTCTGCAGGATGTTGTGCATGTTGGCACTGCTACAGATCTGGTGCTCCTCAAATATCAAGGCATTGTTGTCCGTCACGAAGGCTGGGGGGTGGAGGGAAGTCTGTGAGATGAAGCCTGGTAGCCCAATTCCTGCCTTCTGGAATTCCTCATTTGGAGGTTTGGATTCCGACAAAGGACAGTCACAGAGAAGAGGTATGGTGCGAGTGATGGGACAAATTCTATCTTCTTTTGTACTGCTCTTGTTGGTTGCCAGACCCCAACCACCCTTCCTCCCAATGGTAAGGAGGGGGCAAGATCCAGGATCTGGGGTGCACTTAGGGAAGAAGGAGGCATAGGCTCACTTTGGTGTGAGGCTGCACAGTGTCTGTAGCCAAAGCAAAAGTTCTCCTTGTGCTTCATCTGAGATCATGCTGAGTTAAGGTTATAGCATGCTGGTCATTGACCACTGTCCCCTGTGTATATGTTGCTCACAAGGAGAGCCCTGGCCATGAGCAGGATTCAGTGTTCCTGAGTCTTGTGCCATAGCCCATCATACCATGGTTCCCAGAGAATGCTATTCATTTGAGGATCCTGGACCAAGCTCAGGAAGACTGGGAGTTTAAAGCTATACATCCTCTCTAGGTGTGCATGCTTTGTAATTCCTTAAGGAAAAATATGGCTGAAGACACTAGAGGAAGTTCTAAGGTCCCCAAGATGGCAGCCCAGCTATGTTTGCTAGACATTTGCGTGGTGGGAGGTTGTTTCAGAGGAAGGGGTTTTCAGGGGTGATTTCCAATCTAAGCGCTCAGTACCTGGTAGACAGGCTTCAGCCAACAAGCTGTACGGAATGCCAGCAGGCTGGTCTCTTGGGTCTCGGTCAGAGATATCGATAGCTATAAACTCCTCACACCTTCCCACAGGGTCAGCCACGCAGTCAACGGTGATGACCTGCGTTCCTCCGGAAGGAATGGAGCCAAACCCAGGGTACACGGTGAACATGCCATGGGTGAAGCGCATCTGCAGGAAATGGTGGGAGGGGTGGGAGAGGTGGAGGTGGAGTGGGTGACAGAGTCGGAGCCCTTCCACCAGTCATGAGATGCTGTCAAGAGGAGATCCAAATTAAAAGTCGTAACACCTTGTCTTAAAATGAAAAGTGATATTTCAGTGTAGCTATTTAATATTCCCGCTATAGTAGATTCAATTCTTGCTTTCCTAGGGAGGCATTTGCTGCAAGAACTAGTTGAAAAGTGGCCTTCCAGGGTTTTTGTGAACAAGGAAAAGAGCACTCACCTGGTTAGTGATGTTTACATCTTTCTGAACAGACTCAGAGAACTTGGTTGCTTTGGAAGGGCCAGTCTTGTAGAAGGCGTCGCTTTCCCGGGATCTGGTCTGCCGAATATGGCTGATCCTGATTAAACAAGCGACAGTACACACTTAGGTTGGGGTAGTGACATTAAGCACCACCTATCTGCCTGCTTGCAAAGTCCCTTCTCCTAGGAATGCAGGAAAGGGCCCTTCTCTGCCCAAGAGGGCATTGGAGTAGCATAGTCAGCATTCATCATTAGTCAAACTTCTTTAACAATTGTGACAAAACTATGCAGTAATTGTATTTATTAAATATGATTCATAAGGACATTAAAAATTACTGCAAGAAAATAATAATTTTAAAATGTTTACTTGCGTTCACTGGAAAGCAGTATGTGGAAGTTATTTGCAGACATCAAATCTTTTACCTGATCTCACTTAAAAAAATGAAACGGCAAGTAGATTAAATTCTGTCTGTTTTCTTCACATTTATAGTCATGGTGTTATTAAGACTTAGTTTAAACAATAACACAAACACAGGTTTTGGAAAGTGTTCACTTCACTTGAAACTAGTTTATCCAATAATTCATTTGCCTGGAAACTATTTCCCTAAAATACTCAAATGTATTTGAGGTAAAATCTTAAACTTTTGAGAGTTTTATATATTTGAGCATTCACTTGTTTATTGGCCAGAACGACTGAAGTTCTATCCCCTTGTGGGTGTTTTGCATGAATTTGTGCATGTAAAAATAAAAACTAAATTAAAAACAATTTAAAGTAAAACATAATTATATATTAATATCTGTAAGTAAACATTATTAAATTATTATAAAATAAATGATACAAAAATTAGATTGAAATTAAATTTGGGAGAAAGAGACTTTAGACAGTTGAACCCAAAGTTTCTTGATACAGTTGAACTTTGTAAAAATTGAAGAGGATATCCACAAAGATATGAAACAATTATAATGTAAAGCTGTATACATGATTTAAAACAATTAGAAAGTCCATTTTAAATTAATTAATAATTAATTAATTAGCAAGGCAATTAGAAGTTAAGACAAAATGCCTTGGGAATTGGTAAAACCATCCAAAATTTACTAAAAAAGAATATGACAATCAAATAAAGGCCAAAAGCATTCAAAAAGGTAAACTGTTTTGGTGAATTGATTGAGAGCCACCTTTTGAAGAACACATGTTTTGCTGTTGCAACAACTATTAAGTTAGCTGTTGTGATAAAGTATCTTCATGGGGAGAAGGTAAAAATCCCAATAGACTGAAGGCATCACCATGCCTTCTCTAGTCCACATTTCCAGGGTACCCTTTGCCATCCTATCATGAAGCACAGCTTTGATTTCTTTGGATTTAGCGTGCTGTTATAATAGTCCCTTGACATCCTACAGAACAATAGATAGGGCAGTGACTCACTAGTAAGTCTTGCAGCACACTAGAAGCACCAGGACAACAGACACAATCCCGAACAGAAGGCTTTATATCCGTTCAATTAAAATTTATCATATATTCGATAGCAGTTAGAAAGTATATGAAATCTGTAGTCAGAGATGTGGGTTCAGAACTGAGATATACTGGTGATTTCTTGCATCATTTTGGATGAGCCATTTCTCAACTTTACTAACCTCTCCCACAAAAGGGAATTGGGTGAATTTAGATAAAACAAATGAAAAATCTTTGTAAAATATAAAGTACTAATTAACCAGGGAATGACATGAGTTAAGTAAATATTTGTCTTACATTTTCTTTTGATAAATGGGGCTCTCTCCCGTCAGCCTATAAAGGGCATACTTGAAGTCAATAACACCTTGATTTTCTATGGTGAAGGTGGTACTCTTACGAGTGCCACAGATCAAAGCCCCAAAATTGATGACGGAGGATGGGCTAATGTGGTATTTGGAGCACACTGCATTCACAGAAAATTTAATTGGGATGCTGGCAATGATTTCACCTCCTTCTGCAACATTGGGTTCAATGATCTAGAAAGGGAAGAAGAATTGGGAGAATGTCAGCCATCAGCATAGCTCCAGAATTCCCATGACTGTCTTCTTCATTCCCTATTTTCATCACTGACATGAAGCCAAATTCTTTATTTCATTCTCCTTATATTATTGCATCAACAATATTAGCAAGTACTAACATCAGACTTAGGACTGTGTACCAGTCATGGATCAACACAGAACAACTTTGTCTCCTGTTTCACTTCCTCACTGTTCTTATGCACTTGATGACTGAACTCAGCTTCCCTGTCTCAGGTGCTCCCCAAAGACCAGGGTCCACATTTCCTCTCTAGCACTCTCAATTTTTGATGAGTTTGCATACCTCCCACCTGACCTACCTGTGCCTGCTAGTTGGGGACCAAACCCTGGTGTATGAGGTCTGACAATTAAGTTCGTGAACTTGTTGCAACGATGTTGCTAACCTTTTTTTGATATCAGAGGGATTATTCATTATGAATTTGTACCAACTGGACAAACAGTTAACCAAGTTTACTATTTGGAAGTGCTGAAAAGGCTGCGTGAAAAAGTTAGACGACCTGAACTTTTCCCCAATTCATGGCTCTTGCATCACAACAATGCACCAGCTCACACTGCACTGTCTGTGAGGGAGTTTTTAGCCAGTAAACAAATAACTGTATTGGAACACCCTCCCTACTCACCTGATCTGGTACCCAATGACTTCTTTCTTTACCCGAGGATAAAGGAAATACTGAAAGGAAGACATTTTGATGACATTCAGGACACCAAGGGTAATACGACAACAGCTGTGATGGCCACTCCAGAAAAAGAGTTCCAAAATTGCTTTGAAGGATGGACTAGGCGCTGGCATTGGTGCATAGCTTCCCAAGGGGAGTACTTCGAAGGTGACCATAGTTATATTCAGCAGTGAGGTATGTAGCACTTTTTTTAGGATGAGTTCACGAACATAATGGTCCGACCTCATATCCTCTCTGATTGCCAGCCAGGCCAGCACTCCCTTTTTCCCTTTGAAGTGTGGGTTAGACCATGTACTCTTCTTGACGTGAGTCCTACAATCCTGCCACTGAGTGAGTGCTCCCTTTGCACTCTTACCTGACAGCGCAGGATTGGCTGGTGCTCGACCTTCACTTCCTTTTTTGCACGGAAGAAAACCTGGACATTGGTGGGCTTTTCTGTGGTGGTCAGTGAGCCCTTCTTGGGTTGGACTGAGATCATAGAATTTAAATTGGTCACCGAAATCCCTAAGGAGTCCACAGAAAAGCTGGAAGATGAGAATAAAAGTCACTGTAAGTCATTATTCAGGAAACCCACGACACTAGAGAGGAGACTCTAGACTGTAAAGCGCCTGCCATGTCTCCAACCCTGTTTACCTACTATGCTCAGCTGTGTCCACTGTGTACTGTACTCTGTGACTGCCCCTCTTCAGCCAGGATTGACAGGCCAAGGATTGATGCTTGAGACAAAGACAGACATCTCTACCCCATGGTCAAGAGGTGCCCTTGCAGGAGATATCTGTCCAACAGGACACTTGATGCTGGATAAGGGTCAACTGAATGAATTCATCTCTCTCTGCCTCCCTCCTTCCCTCCCTCCTCGCTCTGAGATGGAATGCAGTACACACAGAAGGAACAGGGAGTGATGCAGAAGACAGGAGATCTAAGAAACAAGAGAAAGTGGGGGGCAGAAGCCATGCAACAGAGGTGCTCAGAAAGGGAGGTTGTGGCCCAGTAGGGGTGAGGTGAGAAGCCACAGGGAGAAGCTGACTCATGAGAATGGCAGGGGGACTGCAGAAGGGGCAAGGAACTTAAGTGGAGGTGGGGGTTGCCTTGGGGACCCAAATGTCATCCCCATGTCCCGGGAGACCTAGCCTCTCCATTGCTGCATGCTAGGTGTCTGCATTTCCTCACCTCCCTTCACAAACCCCTCATCACCAGGGTGACTCTGTTCCATGCAACCTAAAAGAGCAGAGCGAATGCCCTGTCATAATCTGAAACAAAACTCAGAAACGGGCAAGTTTCCATTCAGCACTAATTCCAAAGTGCCAGTGGCTTTCTTCTAGATTTGTTAAGCTTTTATTTATAGTTAATTATTTCAATACACAGGTCTAACTAATAGTAGTATTGAGGTGGGACCTCTCTATTTTCAGCATTCTCTGAGCTGAAGTGAATATATCAAATTTCTTCCAAGTCTGCAAGTGGGGAGTTCCTTTATCACCTGTGAATTTTTCTGGAGGAAGGATGATCTTCCCTAGAAATCAATTGGCCATGAGTGCTGGCACTGCCTCGGGGGTTGTGTGACCCTGCCCAAGTGACCTCCTCCCGCCCCCCACCCCGTGCCACCCTGTTGTCTCCGAGGACTCTCTCTTATTTAGTGTTTCATTTTTAATCTCAAGAGATTAAGAGATCAAGCTGGACCTCTATTCCAGCGGACTGCCATTTGAAATGTATAATACAGTGGTTCTTAAAATTAAAAAGACAATTGGAACATCCCTTCTTCACATGAAATCTTATGTGGAACACCAACTTATGAAACAGAGAAGAGCTGAAAGGAGGGCAGGACAGCTTGGGGCCATGTCTCTCCCATCTGTCCCTCCACCCCAGAATTTCCCTTCACCCCAGTATCTCCTCCACACAACCTCTCTTAGTCTCCTTCCCCACCCCCAGACCTCTGTGGCTCCAGGTGTATCCAGAGGGCCCTTAAGGGTCCCTATAAAGTCACAGAATTGAGAGCAGTGTGAAAATATCTGCTCTCTTAGCATTTGGAATTCCATTCATTGAAGCCAAGAGAGGCTAAAAGCAAAGATGGTTCTTATGATTTCCTCAATTAATTGTAGTTTTAAATCTCCCAGACACACTCTTGACCCCATGAGTGTATGTAGACAACCACATGCCCGATGCTTTGCAGGTTACCTGAACATGATCTCATATTTCCCACGGTTCTTCAGTTGCAGGGGCTGCTTCACCTCCTCCATGACCCTCACAATCCCAAAATCGAGGCCTCCTTCAGCTCCTGCAGAGGCCAGGGGCCGGGGTGGGGAGAGGTGAGTGGGCATGGGAGCGAGAAGCAGGGGAACTTCCTATTGAAGTTCACATGGAAAATCCACGATGACAATTTCAGTGGGTTTGTTTTCTGAAAGCACTGTGGTTAAAAAAAACCTCCTGTAACTGAGTCTTAATTAAAGACATAATTTAATTGTCTTTAATTAAACAACAGACAGAGCTCTTGTACCCAGTTCAACAGGGTGGCTCCCTCTGGCTTCCATCCTAGGACCACGTCCTTCCTTATATGTGTCCCATTAGCTAAAACTTCCAGTATTAAAAAAGTTTTTGTATCAAGTGTCTACTATACAGAGTTTGGATATTATATATAAATTTATATTGTTTTACTTAGCATTATATCATAAGCATTTGCATAGATAGTTAAAAACTCCTTATCAATGTGATCTTTTTTTTAATATTTGAATTCATCAATGTGATCTTAATGGTTGCATAATATATCATGATATGCTGTTCTATAATTTATAATATTATTCCTACAATAATAATATTCCATTATTGATAGACATTTACGTAGGTTATTTCCAATTTTCCATTGCTATACCTTATGCTGTAATAAATATCTTGATATATAAGACTAATGCTAGTTAGGCAAATATTAGCTCTAACATTCTACAACTCTTGTTGAGAAGGAGACCTATCAGAGATAGGTGGGATAGTGGAAAAGTGCACGCCAAAGGGAGGGATCTAACCTGGGTGTTAGAGCAGTGTGGTGGGAAGAACGATGCCACCCACTCCTCAGCCCCAAAGATGTGCATGTCTTAATTCTTGGAACCTGTGACTATTCTACTTTACATGGCAAAGAGAAATTAAAGTATAAGATGGAATTTAGGTTGCTTATCATCTGACTTTAATATAAGGAGATTATCCTGGGTTCTCTGATGGGCCCAATGTAATCACAAGGATCCTCAAAAGTCGAAGAGGAAGACAAAAATTGGAGAAGCATTGAGATGGCCCTGTGAGAAAGGCTTGACCCAACTTTGCTGGCTTTGAAGATGGAGGAAGGGGACCATGAACCAATGAATGTGGGTGGCTTCTAGAAGCTAAAAAAGGCAAGGAAATGGATTCTTGCCCAGAGCTTCCAGAAAGGAATGCAGCCCTGCCAACACTTTGATTTTAGCCCAGTGAGATTCCTTTTGGATTTTCTGACTTACGAAACTGTCAGATAGTAAATTTGTCTTGTTTTAAGCCACAAAGCTACTGGTAATTTGTTATAGCAGTGACAGAAAACAGGACGATAGGTATTCACTCTCAGGCTACTGTTCAGAAAAGAGCTCTGCAAATTTTATATTTATGACTCACTACCCCCCGTCTTGTTACCTCCAGTTGGAGAAACTGAGATTCATGGTAATGTTGCTAATATCACTCTAGGGTTTGCATTACTATTCACTGAAATTCTACTCCCTCCTCGACAACCACTAGTCTTCCTTTTCACATGGAATAGGCTGCACTAAATAAAAAGATGTGACTTTTAAAAACACTCTCCTTGGGCCGGCTGTGTGGCTCAGTTGGTTAAGAGCTCGCTCAAGAGTTTGAGCTCTGAGCAACAGCGGTTCGAGTCCCGGCCCAAGCTGAGCAGCCGCTGAGCTGCCAACAGGTGGCAGGATGGCTCAGCTAAAAAACAACAACAACAACAACAACAACCAAAAAAAACACTCTCCTTGAAGGGGTCAACAGACCTTTGGGGAAGGTGATGTCCAAGGCGATGTCGTAGGACTCTGCAAAGACCATGATGTTCTCAACTTGAACAATTCCAACAAGATTGTCTACGTCTAAAACCTGTCAGGGTAAGAGAAGTTCTTCAGTAAAAGAAGGACCCGTGAGGCGCTCGGAGCCTGAACTACGTAACATGCAATGGGAATCATGAACAAGGGGATAGCGTATGGGATATTTCTGAAATAAATTTAGCTTTGTCTTCACTGAGCCTTTGGTAGGATTAGTGTTTTCATAACACCCTTTAGGGCAGCAGTTCTCAACCTTCCTAATGCCACGACCCCTTAATACAGTTTCTCATGTTGTGGTGACCCCCAACCATAAAATTATTTTCGTTGCTACTCTATAACTGTCATTTTGCTACTGTTATGAATCGTAATGTAAATATCATTTTGTTTTCCAATGGTCTTAGGCGACCCCTGTGAAATGGTCGTTCGACCCCCAAAGAGGTCGCGACCCACAGGTGGAGAACCGCTGCTTTAGGGAATGCTGGTGTTGACAGTCAATATAAGAATGGGGAAAAAAGACTGCATTTTCTATCTTGTCCGATTACTGGGTTTAAATTATTTGCATGATTGTTGCTACATTACTGAAGTTTGAGCTGTGAATATACCTTGCAGAAAAGTGTTCTTCAGATCTTTTTAAATAAAATAAACCTGAAGAGTATTTTTCGGACAGTGGAAATGGAAAAATTGTATATTCTTAATCATCCTTGCTCTACTCATTTCATATATCTAAAGTGGTCGATTCTTTGTATCTGGCTCAACCTGTGGAAAAAGTGCTAGATTTTTCATATAAAATAAGTGTTTAATGCTTCTAATGTTTTATTTATGTGAACATTGCTCTTAAAGTTGGAAATGTGAAAAAAACCAAAAACAACAACAAGCTCCTCAGCCTCCAGTTGCTCAGAGTCCTCTCCACTGTTGCCCCTGGTGATTCCTTACTGTCCTGAGGAACCTTTGAACTGGCGTCAGAGGTCAGCTGGACCCAACTGGTGACTCTTGAGGCTAATGAGGGGGTGATAAAGGGTCTGTTTGTCAAGGTGAAGAGCTGCTGGGCGGTGGGTATGGCTCTCCTGCTCTGCCTGGAGACCACCTGCCTCTCTGCTGAAGCCTCAAGTTGAAAAACTAAGTCACCACTCCCCATTACTTGTGCTTTGGGTGCCAAGAGGAAAATCTGTACCTGCCACCAAACTCAAATTTTAACTCAGAGTTTCCATCTTTTCTTTCATCAAGCATTTTCGCAATGTCTCACAGAACAAAATGGACCGGCTTCAGTTTTGCCTTCTTTCTTTTGCTGCCCACCCTCGGAGTTGGGACCCTCTACCAGCTATGTGGCCTGCACTCACTGGGCAGGGATCTGTATCTGTGTGGAGACTGGTGTTAAAAATGTTGACTATCACCTCCAGACTCATACCCATTGGTGGATTTAATAAATCCATCAATATATGTTTTCACCTATTTGAAGTCATGGGTAGGTAATAAGAGAGATTAGATCCATTGACTGGCTCCAAAAGGTAGAAACAGGGTTAATTTGTGTAAATTACAGAGAGAAATCTGAACTCAACCTAAGGAAGAGTTGACAGTCAGTCCTGTTCAAAGGAAGATCAGGCTGCGTGGAGTGTTGGTACGTTTTCTGGGCCTGGAGGTATTCAAGGAGGAGTTTGGATGACCCCTTGATTGTTGCAGAGTTGATTCAAGCATCACAAATCAGTGATATCTGTTCATTCATTCATTTGACAGATTCTACTGAGTGCCTTCTAGGTTCAGACCTGTGCTAACGCTGGGGATATGATGGGGTCATGGGTTGAATGGAGTCCCCCAAAAAGTATCCTTATCTGAATGCTTGGAATCTGTGAGACTTTATCTGGAAAAAGTCTTTGCAGATGTAATTAAGTTAAAGATCTTGAGGTGAGCTCGTCCTGGATTACAGGGGTGGACCCTAAATCCAATGACAAGTTTCCTTGTAAGAGACAAAAAAGGAGAGGACGCAGACAGAGGAGGAGGCCCTGTGGAGATCGAGGCAGAGACTGGAGTGATGCAGCCACAAGCCAAGGAACACCAGAAGCTCGAGGGGCAAGGAAGGATCCTCCCCAGAGCCCTCAGAGGGAGCGTGGCCCTGCTGGCACCTTGATTTCAGACTTCCGGCCCCCAGAACTGTCAGAGAATAAGTGTTTGTTGCTTGAAGCCACTCACTTTGTGCCCTTTGTTAGAGCAGCCCTGGGAAACCAATTCAGAAAATGGAAAAGTCAGGAGAAATTTGCCCAGTGGAGTTCACATGAGAGGGTAAAGAAAGAAATGGGATAATAGCAGAAAGGGGTAGTGCTCTGAAGGACAGAAGACAGGGTGAGTGGGCGCACAAACAGGGGATCCCCTTGATGGAATGATCACCTGTGGAAGCAGTTAGCAGGTCCTAAAGCAGAGGCCATCTTCCCACAGAGCCTGAGGATAATAGGAAAACGCTGAGAGGCCATGTGATGGGAGCCAATGAGAGAGAGCAGGGGTGGAGTGAGACGCGGAGACAGAGGCAGGCAGGCCTTCAGAAGCAGGCGACCCTGGGCTTTCTTTTTACTGCAACTGGAAGCCAGCGGAGAGCTTCAGGAAGGACAATGACTGACCTTTTCTCCATCTCTCTGGACACTTGTGGGGAATGTGATGAGGGGAACCAGCTAGGAAGCCTGTGCGGAAGTCCAGGTGAGAGACGCTGCAGGTGGCCTGGACGAGGGTGCTAGTGGCAGTACAGACAGAGAAGTGGATGGACAGACGCAGAATTGACAAGACTTTTGGAGGATTAGATTAGCGGGGAGGCCGTCAGGAAAAGGGGGAATCAATGGTGATTCCCAGGTGCCTGTGGGAGCAACTGGATGGAGGGTGACATTTCCTGAGATAGGAATCTGAGTGGTGACTGGGTGGGGTGTGAAATTAGGAATCTAATGCTCACCTAGGAACAGTAACACCATTCATTCATTCATTCGTTCACTGGACATTGACTGAGTGCTTTGTTTTTACCACTGGGAAATCGGCTGTGAACAAGACTGTCTTTATGGAGCTTACAGTGTGTGCAGAGTTGTTGAATGGGGATCAGATGAGAGCGTGTAACAGGGAGACCTGACCGTGTGTGTGTGCACGCGCGCGTGTGTGCGTGTGTGTGTGTGTTGGTAGTGTCTGTTGTTGGTAGTGTGTGTGTACATGTATTGGTAGTGTGTGAATATTGGCAGTGTGTGGCTGTTGGTAGTGTGTGTGTTTGCAGTGTCTCTGTTGGTAGTGTGTGTGTATGCATACATGTGCTGGTAGTATGTGTGTCAGGGAACCTGAGGTGTACACATGTTGACGACCGAGTCTGATGATGTGAAAGCCTCACCTCTAGCCGAATTGCCTTCTTGATGTTGACGGGTTTGGAGGGCTGGAAGTGCACCTGCAGGCTGTACTCAGCCCTGGCGGGGATGGAGCCCTGTACCATGGACACGGTGAAGTCATCGCCCAGGTGCTCCAGGCTGGAGATCCGCCAGGCTACGGGCAGGTTAGTGACGTTGCGGAGAAGAAGTACCTTGGTTTCTTTTCTGCAGAGACCAAAAGACATTTTATTGGTTTCAAATGATTTTGATTTCTTATGGCAGGTCAGAAAAAGTACTTGCTGTTTCAGTTATTGCTTAGGTTCACTAATCTGTATTTATCATGGAATGGGGCCCGATGGTATTGATCAAAGAATGCAGGATCCATATCATAACAATATTCTCTCCCAGCAGCCCCAGAAATAAACATTCTCTATGTAGAAGAATATGATTCCAGTGAATGAATATGTAAGTTCTAGTTTTGGTCTAAATGTGCTCTGTTTGTATTCTAATTTCTAGACCAAAGATTCTTAACCTTTTAGGATCTGCTTTGAGAATCTGGAAAAAGCGAGTCCTGAGAAAAATGCAAATATGCACACACTTTGGCAGTTGATCTTGGGGGGCGAGGGTGGGGAACTTGAACTTGCTGAAGTCCAGCCATTGAACCCATGTTAACTCAGTAGGGTTACCAACCATCCTGATTCGTACAAGACCAGAAGTTTCCCATTACACAGGGCTTTCAGTGCTAAAACCTGGCAAGTCCTGATAAATCAGGGTGAGTGGGTCACCCTAGAACTAAATATTCTTTCAATTCCATCCCAGTGCTGGTGTCATCCAGAACTCTGACCTGTGCAGCAGGAGCCGGTCAAAATGTAATTGCCTGGGATCCAGCTCCAGTTCTGGGCGGATCCCCTGGCAGCTTAAGTTGAAGATGACTGGCTCTGGGTTCTCCTTGATGCAGCAGACAATGCTGTCTTCAAAGACACCAACTGCGGTAGGGTAGGCCCATATGTTCAGCATCTAATGGAAGAGTTAAAACAAAGCGCATTGACACTGAGGATGCCAGGGCCTCAGGTTTCCCAAGAAAGCCTTGCCCTGGTGGGTTGGTTTCCATGGGACTGTACCTGCTTCTCATTGGGTTTTAGAGTCATGCTCATGGGCTCCAAGAAGTAAGTGTTTGCTTTGACATCATTCTGGAAAGAGAAGAACACATCCACGACCATCGGGGAAGTGTTCAGGATTGTCAGTGTCTCCATGTTGCCCGGGAACAAGGATGACTTGTATCTGGAAATGAACAAAAATGAGGGATACATTAGAGACGTGGATGTGGGGACTGACTGAGAGCTCAGGTGGAAAAGGAGATTGTGAGGCGCAAGGCAATTCCAAAGGACAGTGTGATTCCATGGAGGCAGCGGCATGTCACTCAGAACACAAGTTTTGTGGTTGTGAGGACTTGCAGTTGTGACCTGATGCCCCCAAACCTTGGTCTCCTCCTCATCTCTAAGATGAAATGATGATGCCTCTTGGGATTTCTGTATTAAATGAAATGGTGCACCCAATGCTCTTGGGACAGCTGCAGATAACAAGGGCCCAACGAATGGTAGTTTTTATGTGAATAATTGCAAAGAATTCTGAGAAATATACAGCTCCATCCTTCCTAGTGCTTATATTTCCAGGAGAAATGATCATTTGAGTAACTTGTTCTTTCACATCTGCCTTAGAGATGACCTCATTCAACGCCTTCTACACCCGCACAGAATGTTACTGTTCCACGTGGATTATTTTGCATTGCTCACTGTTACGGGGCTGTTTCTGTTCCTTGGTACCTTAGGAAGAGAGTCACAGGGTTGAGCAGCATGGGCACTAGAAGCTGCTTAGTTAATGGTACTGAACAGAAAAGGAACCATGGAAAGCACAAGAGCTGCCAGTAAAGATGCAGATCATCAGAGATCATAGCACAGGTCAGAGAAGAAGGGCACCACAGCACCCACTGGTGCCCAGAAACAGTTCAAAAATTTTTGGACAGGCTGTGATGGCAGAGACCAAATCAGTTAGAGAGACAGAGCGCCCTCTGTGTGACTGCCAAAGGAGTGGTGGCCTTCACCTCCAATCAGGAATCACCACCATCGGTCACTGTGCTAGAAGTTTCATGTGTGTTATCCAGTGTAGTCTTTGCAAATCTGTGAGGTGGGTGCTGCTATTTTCCATTTTTGCAAATGAGGACACTGAGGCTCAGGAAGGTTTAAAAGAATAAATGAATTACAACTGGTTGCAGCAGCCCTTGTTTCTGGGTCACATAACCGTCCTCCTTCTGGACCAGTTTGTCCCTCAATCCTGGTGAATTCCAGTGGTGTCCCGAACACATGCCTCTCTGAATGGCCATCATTTCCCTGACTCCCACCCCAGGCTTCTCATGTCCATCAATCTGACCCTGACTCCTTCCCTCTCCTAAGCCCTTCTTCTGGGCCTTGAAGACCCTCTCCATCATCAGCAAACCCTCTTCACCATCACTTTCTAGTCCAGCATCTCAGGAAACAAAGTGGAGGGATTAAGAGAATGGAGAACAAAGATGGCTCACTAGTTCCACCAAGTAAGCAGAGAAATAAACCCTCTCTATTCATCACAATACATACCAGAGTGAATGAAGACATGTGGAGACCTTGGTTCTAGTTTTGGTTTCATCTCCCTGCCTATATAATAAGAAATTTGTGAATAACTGAAAAAATAATTTCACTAAAAATGTATGATCATCAACCTTACCTGGGCCTCCAATTCTGTCTGATCATCTTAATCTATTTCTCTAATAGTCTCCCTCTCCAACTTTCCACAAAAACTGTTTCATACCTTTTCCATTTTCTCAACATGTTTAACTTCCCTCCACTTCTGTCACTGTTAGGGATGTCCTTACATCATTTGCCCTGGAGAAATTGACAGTTGCATGTGACCCTCCTTGCTGTTCCAACCAAATCTGCAAACCTCCCTGCACCTGAAGCTATCTCACCGTCCTCTCTCCTTGCATGAGGTGATGGTCCCTCTTCCAGGCAAAGGCCAATCTACACATCCCATAGTGTTGCCTTAGGGAGCCGATGGCCCTTACGTTCTCCTGAAACTCCAATCCCTTCCTCCCTACTTCCCCTTGGCATCCATATATTGGAAGAACAACAGTGTATGAACAGCCTTCCTTGGACTCTATGTCTCCCTCCCATTCTCAACTCCTTCCAGCTCTCTTCACAGCCACGCTTTTCCAAAGAGCTATCTTCACACCCTGTCTCTGTTTCCTCACCTCCCCCTGACTCCCTTGTCGTTTCACTTGGACTTCATCCTCAGAGCTCCCTTTAAAGGGCTCTTGCTAAGGCCCCTGGTGACCTCCATGTTGTTGAACCCCGTGGATAATGATGTCCTCATCTCTCCGTCCTCTCTAAAGGATTCAACATAGCTGACCACACCCTCTCCTCGTGGCTCTGTGACACCACCCTTTTCTGATTTCCACCAATAGCTCTGGCCCTCTTTCTCATTTCCTTTGTTGGTTTCAACTCTTGTGAGTGGTGGAGCTCTTCAGGGTTCCATCTGTGGTCCTTCTCTCTCCTTACTGTATCCTGTCTTCTTAGGCAATCTCATCCATGCCCATGGCTTTTGTTGTCTTGAAGATAGGTCTCTCTTTTCTGAGAACCAAAACTGTATAGCTTATTCCCTGCTTTATGTGGCTACTAGTTATGTCTTCCAAGGATCTCAAACCTAATATATCCCAAAGCGAACTCTTGATCCTATCCTTCTCCCACCAAAACCTGGTTCTCTTCCAGGCTTTCCCATCTGAGAAAATGGCACCCTCTTTCATCTGGGTGCTTAGCATAAACTTGGGGCACAAGAACCCAGTTCTCCTGATTTGTGGTTCAGGGACTGAGACAGCATTAGTAAAAGCTATGTCTAATATAGGAACCCTGCTTGTATCATTCAGGAATCCAGGCCAGGGGTCTGAAACCTGCTTTGAGATAATGGAACACTTACTTATCTCTTGATTTTCCACAAAGCAGTGGCCCGAAGTAAAACCTCTCCATGCTCATAACATATTTCTTAAAGACGATTTCATCTCTCTTCATGTCCATCTTCCGCTGAGGGAACACCACTCTGAATACAGGGGAGGAAAAGCAGAGGAGAGGCTGCCTGAAGGGCAGTTCAACGCACCGCTTGATGTTTACCTAAGCCCACCACTCCCTATTCAGCAGGGGTCCAGGTGTCTGGAGGCAGAATGGTTCATAATTTGAGGACCTTTGTTGAGCTTTTATTCCTGCTCCCTTCCTCTCCCGGGTCCTGAGTGAAAATAGTACAGTTTGAACTTGAGAAAAAAAATTCCCACTGGTATCTTTCCTAACGAGGGGCTGATGATGGAGCCGAGTTGGATTTCCCGTTCTCTTGTGCTCAGCTAGGAAAACCCCTGAGAATCCCTATGGAAAACTAGTTCCGGTGGATATTAACTAGTTTCTGAGTTCCTCGTACAATGTGGCTCCTCCGTCAGAACTGCAAAAGGGCTCCTCTTGATGGAGGAGCTACAAAAGATTCGCGGGGGTGCGAGGGGTGCTTGCCCCGCTAGCTTGCTCAGCCAGGTGCCTCCATGTGGTTCACAGGGGGCATGGTGGTGTTCAGTGGCTCAGAGAAAAGCCCAACCATAGAGATTCTCACATATATTCATATTGTAGGACCAAAAGTCCTACAGTAAATATAGAATCTGTTTAAATTTGCTGAATAGTTAAATAAGCAAACTAACTTGCTATAGATAGGTTCACACCTATTAACGTTCTTTTTCTCACTCTCGTAGCATCACGTCATTCCTGTGGCTTAGTCAGTATCCAAGACATTGAGGCCCAGGACCAGAGGATCTGGGGAACCTGTCCCCATTCCACATTAGCATTAAGAGCCACCTTGTTCAAAGGAGCATGGTGGTGGTGGTGGTGGGACCTCAAATGTGTGTGTCAACCTCTTCTTTCTTTTAAAATAAAATGCACCTACTTTGGGTCTTGGCAAATGTATGGGTAAGTGCAGACACTGCGGCAGTAAAGCTGGTACTGGCGGCGAGTTCCAAGGATCTCGAAGTTAAACGTCTGGTCAAAGTTCCCGAGGTCAGTAGAAGAGAAGTGCACTCGCAACGTCACCTCACCGTTGGCTGGCACGATCCACCGGAAATGATTCAGCCTGCAAATGAGCACACAGGCTTTTCAAGTGAGAATGCTTCCTTCGTGCCTGGGAGGGGTCCTGTCCTGATGGGGTTAGGCATGGCGGTTCACAGGGCCCCACAGGCAGAGCAGCCCTGTGCCCTCCCATCTGCTGCTGTGGTAGCTGCGCCCTCGGTGTGGGGCTTCAGTATTTCCCTCCCCCGGTTGCTCGGAGACCCACCTGATGAATTTCTCCTGGAAGTGCTGCTCAGAGAAATTGTTCTGGTCTAGATCTGACAGGGGGACAACGATTTGAGAAGTTGTATCAGTAAGGCCCTTCCTGTTGGAGGCCACACGACGTTTGTCCTTCTGAGTCTCGCGGGGCTGATCTGTTTTTTCTTTCTGTTTCTGTTTGTTCCCCTTAGATGAGGCGGCCTGCTCCTCCTGGGCCTTCATTAAAAAGGAGCACAGGGTCTTAAATACTCATCTTACATACAACACGAACAGAAGACGGAAATGCCAATGGCACGTCTGCAGTCTGGGGTCAGGATGCAGGCAGCTGCCTAGAGCACAGCTTGGCCCAGCCTACTACATTAGAGTAGACAAGAAGGAAAGAGAAGTCTAGTGCTTTTCTTGGTATCCCCATCCCCTGAGGAGGAGGCCAAATCCCTAAAGAAAGCTTGAAGCTGGCAGGGAGTGTGTTTCTATATTACAGTTTTTACAGTGTTTCTTTAGTATCTTTTTTTTTCATATTTTATTTTATTATTTATTTTCTTCAGTTACAGTTGATATTCAATATTATTTTATATTAATTTCAGGTGTACAGCATAGTGGTTAGACATTTATATAAATTTTTTTTTT